ATATATATTTAATGTAATGTCCAAATTTCCCAAATGTTATGAAAAATAATGACTAAAAGATCCATAAAGCTGAGCAAACCACAAACAAATAAAAAGACAATTGCTACTTCTCATCAGAAACGAGGCAGGCTAGAAGACAAATGGTTTCTTTTAAATGTTGGGGGAAAAAACATTGTCATCCCAAAATTCTATGTTCAGCAAAAAATATCCTTTAAAAATGAGGGTAAAATAAAGATATTTACTGATAAATAAAATCTGACAGAATCCATCACTGGCAGAACTGCACTACAAGAAGTTTTAGAGGTTGCCTTTAGACCAAAGGGACATAAGACCCCATGGAACTTTGGAACTAAGGAAGCAATGAAGACCGTTACAGTAAATAACTGGGTAAAAATAAAAGACACTGTTTTCTCATGATTTACTTGCAGAGCTGATTCTTTTGAACACAAATAATAGAGACATTAGGAGGTGGGGTTTGTAACAAATATAGAGGTAAAATATGTAACAACTACCACTAAAGCCTGGGTTGTGGAGAAGATAAATGGACTTATATGACTGTCAGGTTATTACATGTGTGAGGTGGAAGTATGAAGTGAAAGCAGGAAGGGGGCACCTGCAGTGCTAGATGTGACGTGAGAAGGGGCACGGAGGAACAGGAAAGTGAATGTGAAAGTGTTCCAACAGTGACCATATCCTGGGTCATAAAACAAGCTTTAATGAATGTAAAAGCATTGAAATAAAACAAAGTATGTTTTCTGACTATAATGGAATTAAACTTGAAATTGATAAAAGAAACATAAAAGGAGAATCTCTAAACACTTGATAATTAACACAATTCTAAATAATCCACAGGTTAAAGAGCAAGCCTCAGGAAACATCTGAACTGAAAGAGAATAAAAATGTGATGTATGAAAGTCTGTGGAATGGGACTTCTACTTCTGACCATGATGGAATAATTAGGGACCCTAGATTTACCCTCCTAAAAAAATACAGCAGCAACAACAACAGAACCACAAAATACATGAAATAATGGTTTTCAAGACATTACACACTGGGCAACAAAGGGGAGTGATCACTGAGAGTTGGGAAACAAAGTGAGCCCTACGATCATCCCCAGTAGAGTGGCACAAAAAGGGGAGAAACTAAGGCAGAGCCCAATGGATCCCCTAAATTGAGGAGATAGAGCTAAGAGTTTGGGGAGACAAAAGCAGCCACAGTTTAATGACACCAGAAAGGTCAGAGCGGAGCAAAGACATCCCTACAGATCTACAGAGGTTCCTCCTTGAATATTCAGTACGGTACTCATTAGTGCATGTTGATGAATAAACCAGCAGAGGCCAAAGAACTGTCCCCCACCCCCCAAGTATTAAAGGACACAGGATCTGGTACTCACAAAGGGCCAGGAATAATGTCTGTTGCCACCAGGCAGACTGGGAAAACTCATAATTCATAGGGGTCTGGGTGGAGTACTCAAGCACCCTAGTAATGGGAAATAATCAGCCTTAGATTGAGTACTGCTCTAGGCCCACCTAATAAATCATTAAAGTGAGACCTGGAAGGATCCAACTGTTTCCAAGTATCTTAAATACGTCCCAAAACAAAGCTCAAGAAAATGCACAGGAATAAAAAATGACCATCACTCGACAAGGAAAAATTTACAATTTCTGTCATCCTAACTATTACCAGGCATACAAACAGGCAGGGAAACATGACCCATAATGAGAAGAATAACCAGTCAATCAAAACTAACCCAGAACTGACACACATGTCAAAATAAGCAGAGAAAAACGAAACATTAAAATTACTTTTAACTGTATTCCCTATGTTTACAAAGTTGAAACATGGAAAAATATTACAAGAAATAATGGCCCAAAATTTTCCAAACATAATGAAAAATATAAACTCACAGATCTGAAGCTCAACCTCAAGTATAAGAAATATACCACCACGGCCACGCAGGCGGAGATCAAGGCCGCCTACTACCGGCAGAGCTTCCTCTATCACCCGGACCGCAACTCTGGGAGCGCTGAGGCCGCCGAGCGCTTCACGCGCATCTCCCAGGCCTACGTGGTGCTGGGCAGTGCCACCCTCCGTCGCAAGTATGACCGCGGTCTGCTCATTGACGAGGACCTGCGCGGACCCGGCGTCCGGCCCTCCAAGATGCCCCCAGAGGACGCCGGCTCTCCCCGTCCGCCGCCGGCCGCCTCTCGGGCCCAATACGGCGGTCGGGGCGCTCCGGGCGCCAACCGCACCATGTTCGACTTCGACGCCTTCTACCAGGCACACTACGGAGAACAGCTGGAGCGCGAACGGCGCCTGAGGGCCCGGCGGGAGGCCCTTCGCAAGCAGCAAGAGGACCGGGCCAAGAAAGGCTTACAATGGGACGAGATCCGAGACAGTGCTTTCATTGTCGTTTTCCTCACAATCTTCGCTGTCGTCGGCTTTCGTATTTAATCGGAGAAAGGAGGGAAGGGGAGCCGCCCCAGCCAGCCCTGAGTGAACGGCCTTTCCTGTCTTCTGAACCCTTGGCCTGCCTTTGTCTACCTCTGCTGGGGTCTGAAGTAACTCCCTGCCCTCCCTGACCTGCCCAGCTTAGCCGGTGACCTGCGCGTCCCTCCCCTACGCTCCAGAAACGGAGGCTTTTTGATTCCTAAGAAAGAGGCCCCAAGATGAAGAGTCCCGAAAGCCCAGGAGTGGAGGGTTTTTTGGAGTCCCTTGGGTGCCTGCTTCCAGAGTTTGCCTTCCCGATGTTGTCGATTTCTGGAACACTTGCT